TATCATTCATTAATTCCCATGAAAAAGTTGAAAGTGCATCATAATTGGAACTGTAGGAAGTACTTTCTTCTCTCTAGTTTTATGTATAAGTCACCTTTTAAATGAAATTTATGATCTTTTTTATTAAACATTATACATAAAAAGGTAAATCATTAATTGCTTTTTTTTTCAATTAACTATACCTTTTTAGTTTTAGAAAGATACAAGTAACTTATAAATACGACTAAAAAAAGTATAAGTTTTTTAGCAAGACTTATGTATTTAGCCTTATATACTTAATATATTTTTATCTAATTAAATTAAAATATATAAATTTTAATGTACTAAAAATATTAATAAAAATAATTTGTTATGGAATAAATAATTTATAAAACACCCACATGGCTTATTTTAATTAAAAACAAATATCTTAAATATATAAGTTTTTCTAATTTTTTTTATATTTAAACTTTCAATATGAATTAAGCTTGTCAAATTTCTTTTCCACTCAATTTGATTAACACTACTACAAAAAGGCTTTTCTACTACCATAATTCACGTCCCATTTTAAAAATGAGACTTAAAAAAAAATAAATCAACGTCACACAGATAGAAGAGGGAAGTAAATTTAAAAATTCACGTTTCCCTGAGAGGGGGACGTGGATTTAAAAAAATCCACGTCCCCCTCCCCCCTGGGGGACGTGGATTCTCAAATCCACGTCCCTCTTCTAGGAGGGGGACGTATAATATGTTGAAACTTTGGACTCCGTGCATACTCATTTTTTATTTTTTAAAACTAATATGTCAACTCCTTGTGCTCTGTCTCTGTCTCCCTCGCAACTCCCTCTCTTGTCTCAGCTCCCTCATCTCTTTTCTCTATCTTTGTCTGAGCTCCCTCCCTCATAGTTTCCTCTCTCATCTCAATTCCCTCTCTCATCTCAGCTCCCTCATTTCTTGTCTTTGTCTCGTTTTTCTTAGCTCCCTTCCTTCCTCTCTCTCTTAGCTCCCTCCCTCGCTCTCTATCTCTCATCTCCTAGCTTCATCATTGCCTCTGTCTCTCTCAGCAGCTCTGTGGACGAAGAAGCCCAGCCACTCACGACTAAGGACCTCTTTTTTTCTCTCCAGGTATTTTTTTTCTTTTTTTTTTATTTTCTTGAATAGGTCTCCATGCAAGAATGTGATTTTTGTTTTGACCTAAGAATGTGATCAATTAATTTTAGTTTTATATAATGTATATAATATTATGATGCTTAAATTTTGTTTGAACCCATGAAAGTATGTACTTATTATTTTAGATAATTTTATAATTATATAATTATAGGTGTAATCATTTTGTTTTTCCATTGCATTTAGTGTATTTTATTGTAATAGTGTATAAATAGTTGTAATTGAATTGCTATTTATTAAACTTTCGCTGTATGAATTGACTGTTTCTATGACATATTTTGGCAAATTCTATTTAATTGTAAAGTAAATGTAAATTATATATAAAAAAATTTAAAAACCATATCCCCTTATAGATAGAAAGAGACGTGGTTTGTAAATCCAGATGAGAAACCACGTCCCCCTATATCAAGAGGGATGTGGCTTCTCAATCTATGAACTAGGCAATGAGAAACCACATCCCTCTTACTAGAGGGGGACGTGGCTTCTTTATAAAACACATCCACCACTTATAAGGAGGGATGTGAATTTTGTAAAAACCACCTCATTTATTATTAAAGAGGACGTGGTTTATAATATTTCATGTCATAGGCATTTACGACGTGGATAAGTTATTATTTTAAATCACCCAGTATGATGTTTCTTTCAATTGTGACATGAAAATGCTTAAAAATATTATGTGAAAAGCCTATTTTATAGTATTGCAAGTAATGACACAATGATTTTCAATAATAAATAGGTCTCCAACAGCCCAATTTAAGTCATCATTGCATGCGTGTAAGATCCAATTGTTGATTCATTAATCATTTTTGAAGAAAAAATAAAAATAAGAAGGGAGAATGTGCTGGACTGAATGCCTTTCGAAGTTGAGTGTCATAATATTTGAAGTCAAAATATTATCTTCAAGTGATCTCATAATGTAAAATATTATTTTAATTTGATTAAAACAGTTGTGATTCGATGTATCTTGTGACGGAAATGACAAAACGCCGCCTTCAATTTTATATTCATTAATGATCATAGAAAAATTCAAATTTAATTGGGATTGTGAACTATTTTAATACCCTTTATCTCATATTTCCACAATTTTGTCGTATCTTTCACAATCATTAATCATTCAATAAAATCAAGACGTAAATTTTATGTACATTATTTATTATATAACAAACTTTTACATTAATAATTTTTACATAGTTATATTTGATTAGATTAGATTCAAGAATTATCAGGCCTAATTAAGAACAATTCTTTTAAAAATATTTTCAGCATTTATATAGTGGGCTTGAACTCAAGATCCCATACTTAAACGGCCAAGACTTTCTTCACTAATACAAATACTAGTTTGTTATTGTTAATATTTTTAACACTTTAAAACTCACTAGTTTTGATTTGATTGCAAAAATATAAAAAAATATTTAAGGCTAAGTATATAGTCTTTTTCTTAAAGAAAGGTATATGTTCAGTAGATATAATTTCCTCATGCTACTTAAAAAAAAAAAAAAAAAACCATGCCCCTTTACTTTATGCGCGCCCCTCTAAGGCAAAACTTATGAGCTATAATTGATAGCTTTAACGTAACATGGGAGTAGGGTTTCAAAAAGGTTAAACTAGATGTGGAGTATCTTCTTACTATGTCTCTTTTGTCACAAGATTTCATTACTATGAATAACAACAGTCACTTGTAGTGATAGAGTTAGCGTTTAGAGTCAGGAGGTGCAAAATAATTTAAACTTAAAAATTAATATTTTTTGTGAAATTTAATAATTTAAATAATTAAAAATAATAATTACACTATGACTAAACTTGTAATAAAATAATTAGATTGATTAACATTTTTCTTTTTAGAAAATTATATTGAACATGTTAATATATGATTTGTCTATATAAATATCTTCTTCATATCTTATCTCACTCATTAAAATATTACATATTTAATAAGTTCTTGAGTTCAAATATTTTTTGTTTAGTTTAGATGATGGTGCAAAATATTAAGAATAAAGGTGTAAAGTTATAAAATTTACACACATCCTACTAATTATTTTTCCAAAAGTGAAGGAATGCATTTGTCTTACCTCACAGTCAAGTGGCTCTACCACTAGTCGCTTGATTAGGTAGATACTTTGTCTTATACATAGAGGATGGCAAGTCAAATTCATCACATTTACTGATTAAAAAGGAAATAAATGTGCTGACTTTTTAGCCTCTTTTACTATTTTCATATACATGCATGGGATCTGCATGACCTAAATCATCCACTAGACAATTTGAGGAAGCACTTGCAAGACTCAAGAAAATTAGTTGTGTCTCAAATTTTTTTTCTTCTATTCAAAATCTATTGCGAATTAAATGTTTATGATGGTAAAATCATTTATTATGCATGGGTTGGAGAAAAATTATCAAACAAGGGTACATGCATGTGGGAATATTTTATCAAACATATCCCAGAATTTTGGACATAATATTATAAAAAGGTATAAAAAGGATGGAGGGAGTATAATCTTTTTGGGGAAAAAATAAATTTGGTACTATATTTAAAAACAGATGGAGTATAATATATTGGGAACAGAAATTATAGTATAACTACGTTATCCACAACATGCTTTTAGAACTAATAAAAAAAATCATGGAAATGCTTTATTTATATAGGATACTCTCCCATCTCATTTTAAGTTTTTTTAAGGTTTTCATATGAAAATTAAGAAACACAACATGTAACTTGGTGAATAATACAATTTTACTAAATTATCCTCATTATATTCGTCTCTTGACCTCTGTCCCAACTCACAAGTAACAACACTATTTCCTAAGTTATACGAACTACAAATAGTTTTAATTGCATACATATATATCCCAGATTCTTCGAATATTTTTATCAAACATTTAAAGAAGACGCGGTTTAACTGTTATAGTTGTTGGCTAGATTTCTTTTTTTATCTTTTTTGGCTGAATCGATGTTGACTTGAATTTATTTAAAATTAAAAACACGTTTTTGCTGTAAATTAAATCATTCTTCCAATTGTTTCCCGTTCATTTTCTCACTTTCTCTTTCCATCCTTATAAATAAGAAACCGATCACCATTTCAACCCTCTCATCCTAACCCCAATTATCAAATTTTTCCTTTTCAGATTACAGAGTCATATTCTCCAGCTTCTTTCACTATGATATAATAGATATACACAGATGCAATCCTCTAGAATCATCGTTTCTTCACCATTGAGTCCACTTTCAACCTCGAAATCAAGCTCCAATGGCAGAAACAAAGCTAGCAGATTGCTCTCTACTGCAACAATGGCGTCCAGAAGATCAGGAGAAGAAGGAGATCAGTATGGAGGGAGCTGGATGGTGGATGAGAATATGATTATTCTGAGGAAGAGGATTCATGAGATGAAGAAGATAGAGAAGAAATACGTGGCGCCGAGTGATTGGATGGAGTGGGAGAAGCAATGTTACTGTAAGAACTATGACTCTATGGTGTGTGAAGCAGCTGGAGTTTTGCAGACGTTGTTGATGAACACAAGGCCAGGCATGGCTTTGGGTATTGTAGGTTTGATTGCTCTCAGTGTTCCTGTTTCATCTGCTTTTCTTTTGTTTCATTTCTTAGAGTTAGGTAATCTGATTCTAAAAGGATCATCATAATTAACTATCATGTATTTAATTAAAGGTTAAGGTCATTTTTATCTCTCAACTTTACCTCCAGAGTTTGTGGGCATCCTCAACTCAAATATCCTTCAACATTAAATGATTTTTCTCTTATCACCCTACCATGTTCTTATTGTCTTTTCATCATTAGTGGATTTCACATTACACTTTTTAACATTTTTTATTGTAAAATATTTAAGTTTAGAGTACGCAAATAAAAGTTGAGAGATAAAAATAAATCTCTTAATACAATATTTTATAATAAAAATGTTAAAAAAATTTAATGTAGGACCCACTAACAATGAAGACATGACCTGTTAATATTAAGAGTATTGAGGGAGAGAATTGCTAACGGTGAGAGATATAATAAACTCTTATTTGTATTCATGGGTGTGTCTATTGACCCTTTAGATAAAGTTGATTGTAAAAATAATCTTTAACCCTTCAATAAGCTACGGATTTAGGAGAAAAGTTTTTCATATGATATATTCACTTCGCTTTTGACAACCTGATTATGTATGCTTAAGACTTTTCGAATTATAATCGTACACGTGCTCTTACACATTTGAAGGCAATTCATTGATTAATTTAGCTTCTACCTATCTGTTTATCTGTATGCGGTGTGTGTGCTAAATTACTTAATTTAAAGATGAGAATGATGAGATAATTAAATATATAAGTGTACAAGGAAAGACAAGCTTCATAATGATCATATGCCCAAAAAAAAAAGTTAGTGTGATGTATATTAAAAAAATGATACAAAATTCTCTAAGGTAGTTCAAAAATTTACAATAAAGGTCATTAGAGGTGGAACAAACAATTGAGTTCAGTGAAGAGAATAGAGAATATTGAAAGAGATATTTTGATTAACAATTTGTCCAAAATTTGGTTATTGATTGAATACAATGGTTCTGAAATAAGGCTGGTTATTATTATTGGGTGTGTGTTAGAAGTAGAAATTAAGTATTTATATATATATATATATATATTAGAATTATTTGAGAGTCTTCTAGTCTATTATCAGCGATGTGTGATATGTGTGCTTGATTCATGTACCTAAAATTATGAGGTTCATATATTAGTGTGAGATTCATGCATGTATGGTTTTGGGGAACCCAATGCCCCACCCCTTAAATACAGCTCAGCCTCCCACCTTTTTTTCCCCCTTTTAATCATTAGATATTCTACCGCAAGTGAAAAATATTTTGATATTTTATGGTCATGAAAAACGGTGTAGTTTTACTTCTTTTTTTTTTAACAATTTTCCTAAGTAAATAAATCAAAACTTCACAATTTTCATTGCGATGAGATATCAAAATGATTCTCATTTCATATAGAATGTGATGGTCAAAAGAAAAAAATAAATGAAAGGTTGGTATATTATAAAGAACATTAAAGAGTGCGACATGAAAGACCCGAGCCCTTGTTTTTTATCCAAAAATTTTCCAAAAGCTTCACGATATGATTCTTCTTCAAGATATTTTTTTTCCCAAAATTTGAGTTCTCTCCTCTCTTTTTTGCCCCTTGCAATGGGGCTGATTTTGGGAAAAATTTCAATGAGGGACCATTGACCAAACATAATGAAAAAGGGGACCCTTAAATTTTTGAAATTTCATTGAAGGACCCTTAAGTATTTTCGTTTGAATTTGTGATAGAAATGATAAAATTTTCCTCATTTAAATGAATAACATAAATGATTTATTTGTTTTTCATACTATATATTTTTCATTTACTTATAAAATATTGTTCATTTTCTTACTTTATTTGTTTATAGTTATACTTTCACTTGATTTCAATCTAAGGCCGTAAACAAGTGAAGTAAGTAAACAAACTAACATCCATAAGTAAATAAACAACAAAAAGTATGAAAATAAATAAGTCGTTTTATTATAAACCAACACTTAAAATGAAATAAAGTAAATTTAAGGCTATAAATAAGTAAAGTAAGGAAATAAATAACATTCCCTAAGTAAATGAATAACATACAATATGAGAACGAACAAGTCATTTATGTTATTCATTTAAATAAGGGTAATTTTATCATTTCTATCACAAATTCAAATAAAAATCCGCACGGATCTTTCAGTGGAATTTTACAAATTTAGAGGTCCTCTTTTTCATTATGTTTGGTCAAGGGTCCCTCACTAAAAATTTTCCTTAATTTTATGCATGTTCTTGCTTGTGGGGAGTTCCGGAGAGGATTAGAGAATGTCATTGCTGATAGGAAATTTCTCAGTTCTCACTAACCTTGCTTGGATTTTCAAAGGTAAAAGTTTGAAAATTGATTTGTATATTTTATGGGTAGCCTATAAATGATTATTGGGAAAGGAATGTATGGTTGAAATGGATGTTTTATTGTAAATTTATTTTCAACGAATTTTTGAGTATTTTTTTATAATTTTATAATTTAAATTCTATACCTTATTTAATCTCGATAATTTTATCATTAGAAACCACATATTGAAATATACTAATATACTAAATTTATAATAATTGAAATTAATTTAAGTTACAGAAACCTATCTCACAAGTTTTACACTATAATTTAGAATTTTTGGGCAAAACTACACCATAATCACTACACACAAAAAAAATTGACAAAACATGGCACCACCCTTTCATTAAAAGTTTTATTTTATATCAACTCTTACAATTTTATTATATGAGTTTATATATAGCTTTTTAGTTTACTTTCAATTGACATTAAGTAAAGTTATTGGCTTTCTTCTACATTACACATCTTATTTTTTAATTACTTTTTATTTTTAAATGATAATTTTATAGCAAAATTATACACAATATTATCTAATTTTTTTATTTATGTATGAAGATAGTATGAAACAAAAAAAATGTATAGCATAACATAGATATATTTCATATATTCTAAAAAATGAATGTAGAATTTTTGAATATCTCATTCATCTCAATCTTCGCTACTAGTAATCGAACTAGAAGCCTCTAAGCTAGTATCAAGCTTTAAAGTTTAACACATTTGAATTGAAAAATTAAATTAGTTGAAATATCATTTTATAAAGGAATAAATTTGTGCATCACATGTCTAATTATTATAGACAAGTAGTGTTATATTGTTTAAAATGTTAGTTTAATTATGAAACATGTAAAAATAGAGACTCATTATCAAAATATAAGCGTTCCAAATTAAAATACCAAACAATAAGTTTTTAAACGAATTTATTACTTTATATAAGAGTGTGCATTGGTCAATTCAATTAGATTCAGTCTTAAATTGACCAAAACTAATAAACCAAACAAACCTAAATGATTAGACCAAATCAAACCAAATATTGCTTGATAAACAAAATCAACTTGAAATATAATAATAAGGATGGGCTCAATTATTTACTATTGCTTATTAGTATTAAATGATATCTTATATTTTTTAAAAAGAGTTTGGTAATTAGAAGCGGAGTGAGAACCTATCTCTAATGTCAATTACAACAATAATTCAAATATTACAACTTTTGGATGTTAGAACATATCCAATGAGAGAAGAAAAATTTTTCTCGCTGCAGTGCAATATCAACCTTTTGGAAGTTGGCAAGCAAAGGAGAAGTATCCATGAATACTATATGTCTGCATATTAGGACCTGAGGAAATCAGCGTTAATAAGTTTCTTTTTGAGACACAATCATCAAAGTTTGCCGAAGGAACACCATAATCCCCGCAGAAAGATTGAACTCACCAAGGTGAGCTAAACGAAGACATAGCAGAGAGAAGAGAGATGAGTTAGCTATGACTTTCCGAAAGACCAGCCTTTGCAAGGCTGATGATTAAACCAAATATCCAATTTGTCAGCCATGTGTCAGAAAGAATATGCGGTTTTGAGGATGTCATTGGTCACTTCAGGAGTATATAATTTTTGAACAAGTAGCTTATTCTAGCTGTATGGATTCGAGGAAGAAGTATTTTTAATTATTAAATCAAAATCTGTAGTGATATGCAATCAATGTACTTTTGTGTTGCCGAGTGAAGGCCACCGTTGCTCATGATCAATTGGAATATCACAAGAGTCGTAGGTTTTCCTTGTTAGTTTGCGTCCTTCAGTAGTAAAATCAATATACTTTGAAAGAAATCAGGAGAGAAAGAGATGGAAATTGGGAAAAGTTACCATACTTATTAATACGAAAGGCTTACAATATATAGGTGAACCTAATAATATTTAAAGAATACACAATATTTTTCTTAAGTTAAAGTTTAATTTTATTCTTGTACTTATGTTTTAAAAATACTAGACACCCTATACTCTTAAATGGGGCATTTTTTTTATCTGAAATATTTTTTTGAGGTCCAAAAACACTCTTTTGTTAGGAGGCTATTAAGTTTTTCAATTTCTACTGACGTGACGTGTGTGGGGCTCACGTACAGTAACAGTAAAGACTTTAATCATGTTCTTTGGTGCTAATTTGCCCCTGAACTCTTTTTTCAAGAATGCTGAATACCTAAAGTTTTTTTTAGAAGCATTGGATACCTTAAAAGTTTTATTAAAATAATATTGTCAAAATATTAAATATTTTCATATTTAATAATTTAAATATTATTATTTATAAATATTCATTCAAAATCTATAAATTATTTTTTAAATATTAACAACTTAAACTAGTATTTTATAAACTTATAGATGACTTCTTATTTTTATATATCAATTTTTGATATTTTCTTCATGACAGTACCCAAATCATTATACTTTTGTGCGTGTCAAAACTTATTTATATTTTTAATATTAGTTAAGTTTCATAAATTTTTAGGTTATTTTTTATAATTTTTTTGGTCAAATAAAAATCTTCATCTAAAATATTGCACTATCCAAATTTAACACCCTCTATACGTTGGAGTAAAATCATAAACATAACAAATCAAAACCAATAATATGCGAACAAAAATGTTAATTTGAAAGATATCACTTACTTCATTAATATGCTACCAAAAAATTTACTTAACAAAAGAAAAATAGAGAGATGAGAAGAAAAATTTTTTTTATTAATTTGAAAGTTCATTCCTTTCATTTTTAATACAAAATTATAAAATAAAAAAGTATTAATTTTTATGGCATACTTTTTTAAATAAAACACTTAATATCTTAACAATATTTATTAAATTTAATTTTAACAAAATTTTACGGTGTCTAATGCTCCTAGAAAAATACTTTAGGGTATTCAATACTGCTAGAAAAATAATTTATGAACAAATTAGCACCAAAAAAATATGATCAGAGTCTTATATGTTGATGTGCGTGGGTCCCACACACGTGTCACGTCAACCAATAATAAAAAATTTAAGGGTTGACTAGTAGAAGAAGTTTTTTGCTTTTCAAAAAAATAGTTGAAGGGTAAAATTGCTCTAGTTAAGAATATAGGGTATCCAACGCTCCTAAAAATAAATTAAACTTTAATCCATGTTTCTTAAATCTCAATAAAATAAATCTTAATAGATAATATATTAACAGGATAAATCTCTATCTTAGCGTACTTGATCAATCTTCATGGTATAACCAAGAAGGGAGTCAAAGCCCAAATTCATTTGATGAGCGTCCCTAATTAGACCCAAATTAACCTCCGAGCCTAGTTGGAGTGAAAAGTGTCTTTTCGAAGTAAACGCTTCTTCATTGTTTGACCATTATGACTCCAAAAGTTTGCCAGTGAAGCATCTATCTGCAAATAAATGTGGGAAGCTGAAAGTATAGACTTGATCACAGCAAGTCTAGCTACATGCTTGAGATTTATCGCTTCTAGTTTCAATCCATGTTCCTAAGTATTTTCTCATGGAGGCAGACTCCAAAATGCCCAATGCACTATCAGAAAATCTTTGTTTCGTGTCAAGAGAGACATTAATTAGGAATGAAAACAATGGAGGATTTAGCCTTATTTATCTTCAAACCAGACCAATAACAAAAAGATTGTAAGCTTTCGTTAATAGTGGACATGTCTTGTCTTGTGCTGTAAAAAGATGACACGAAAGATGAGAATCTGGATGGATAAGCACTCCGAGACTTATCCCATGCAATACTATTGACTATTACTCCCGCTGGTGGTCTTGTATATTTATAAGGCAAATGGATTAGGTTGTTTTTATTTTATTTATACGTCACGTTAATAAATTTTTATTACAAATTTTTTCACCTTTTATTAATTATTAAAAAGAGAAAATATGTTGTTAAAATATGCATATTTAATAGGAGTAAGGTTGAAATTTTATTAAATTTTTAAATAGAGTTAATGTGTTTTAATAGTTTCATTAATTCTAGTAAAATATATTAAAAATAACTTATAAATAAAATCGTATAAATATTTTATTAGCAGAGAATTAGCATGAACGATGAATCTTCAAACTTTTCATGTGACTAATTATCATTAGGGTTTCTTTTGTTGTTGTTGTTTTTTTTTTTTGTTTTGGTCTTTTTGTCCTTTGCTTCTTCATCATCATCGTCTTCTTCTTTCCTTGAATATTCCTCAAAGACTCCTGAGGTTGAACATGTCAAAGAAACTTGAGGAGCAAAGTTACGCAAAAGGACCATCGAAGAATATAATGATTTGGAGAATAACATTATTTTTTTATGAAAAAAACCATTAATTCGAGAAATTATAAAAAATAGTTAAAGTTAAAAAGTACATGGGTGTACACAGTTGGCAATATACCACATTCATTGTGGTAAAATTTCGGACGCTCAATTGTTAAAATTATACTCCCTTCCTCAAAAAATTAAATCATTTTTTGATAAGTTGAATGTTTATAAGGTATTTTTAATCTTTTAAGGTGTAATTATTATATTTTAAAAAAAAAGCCCCTATCAATAATAATTTTATATTTATTGTAGGATGCTTAATGGGAATAAATATAAAAAGATAGGATTAGTTTGAAAATAAATAACTAATTTATTGGAGAGTAAGATTTAATTAAAAATGTTAACTTTATATTTTTTAATGGATGGAGTAGTATTTAGTGTAAATTTTGTAAATTTCATAAATCCATAAATTAACTTAATTTTAAAATCTTGAAATCTTAGTTATAAAACTCAGAAAATTAGTTGCAATTTCTTTTGTTTGAAATCTTAAAAGCTCAATGGTAAATCCCAGAATCAATTGTAAAGATCAAAAGATTGATTGATTAACTTTTGAAGTGCGTTTAAATGATGTCCTCAGTTATTTCTTAAAAACTATTCCTCAAAATCTTTCAATATTTGCAACAAATCTTTCAAAATTTACCATTGAACTTCTAGAATTTACAAATATTCTTAATTAACAACATATCTATCATAATCTTCTAAATTTACGCCTAACTTTTTTCATATTTACAATTAAGCTTTTGAGATTTATAACTATGTTACGTTTCGTCGTTGTTACAACTTTTTGTTTCAAAACCTTACTCATTTTTTATCACTTTCAAAATTTGTGATCTTTTATTTTTATTTTATGGCAGAATCACATTCAAAAATCATTCAAAAAAATTATTCACAAACAAAAGCCAATCAGTGGTGATGCTAAGACCCTAAGCTATGGGGTGCAACATTTTTAAAATGAATAATTTAAAAATAAAAAAAATTAAATCCAAAATCTTAAAATTAGGTTAAGGATGCAAAATATTTGAGTTAAGAGGTGCAAAATATTAAATACATAGCCCTTTCTTACAATTTTCTTCCAAAACCAAGGGGTGCATTTGTCCCATTGGATTCAATGTAGTGCTGCCCATGAGACTAATATGGAATGAATTATTATTAAAAAAGAGACATGTGACCTATTATTATTCTTTATTTATGAATAATTTGCTCAAGTGATCTTTGAATGTAATTCTTCTTATCTATTTTAGTGATAATTGCACATCATTCTTCCAAAGAAGGAATGAAGTTTAATTTTAGATACCCTTTATCATAAAAGATGGTTCACAACTTCATATCTTTTCATGAGCCTGTTATAGAATCTCACGTTTCCAAAAGTAGTCCAAAGATTTCTTATTATTTGAAAAAATAGTAAATTTAATTGGACAAAAGTTGTGGGAAAATTGTTCACGACTTCACGCTTGTTCCGCTCTTTTTAATTTAAGCAACATTTTGTTTTCGGCCGCCCCGTTTTTGTACTCATTAATCAAGTTGGTTTGCACGCAGTCTAGTGCCACGTCATGTTGACCTTTTCAGCAGACTTTACTTTGACAAATTTTTCCAGGCTTTTATCTTTTATATTATATATATATATTTGTGAATAGTGACAATTTATGTATTTGATCTTCCCTCACCAGCATATCCGTTCAGAATCGATTTATTGCGATGTGATATTAATCGATCAAAAGTCGACATTTGGCTTCTGTCTTGTGCATTTTCAATAACAGCACAACGTGTTTTTAACGACCAT